TGTACAGCGCTCTCTCCCACCTTCAATACCACGACTGAGGTGCCCTTGAGCAAGGCACCGAACCCCCAACTGCTCCCCGGGCGCCGCAGCATAAATGGCTGCCCACTGCTCCTGGTGTGTGTTCACGGTGTGTGTGTTCACTGCTGTGTGTGTGCACTTTGGATGGGTAAATGCAGAGCACTAATTCCGAGTATGGGTCACCATACTTGGCCACATGTCACGTCACGTCACGTCACGTCAATGTCTGTAACATACTTAGTTTAAAATTTCTCAATGGTCGTGTAAAACAACACCCTTTACCTTGTCTAGAACAGCCTAATTCGGTGCATGTCTCTTTAAATGATAATGAGTTACTGCTCACCCCGTCCCCCTCTTCCGTGTGGCGTGTCAACACAAGACAAGTTAATTGCTGCTTTGGACTCGTATGTGGCTTGGAGGTGGTCTTATTTATGGCTTTTCGATTCTGAAATTTTTGGAATCGAGGACGATTCCGATTCCTGGTTCCTGAGTCGATGGGATTCTATTCCAAGAATCGATTCCTCAATGTTGTTTTCGATTCTTGTTTTTTTTTTAGATTGAAGAAACGTATTCTCGCCATGACACCAGGATAAAAAGGTCTTAGAAAGTAGCCTGCTCATAATATGAAGCTTTATTTGTAAAAATGACGATTTCTATAGCTCTGATTGATTTGAAATTGTAATTTTGTCTGCATTGTCTGTGAAATTAGTCGTCATCAGCCCACAGCTTAGCAAGGACATGCATTTATCGCATGAATGGAACAAGACATTAAGTATCTAAAATAAATGTGCACAGTTCATGTGCAAGTTTACTTTAACTGTATGCTTTAAACAAAATTAACAAACTGTACACGGAAATAAAATACCCAGAACATTAACGACAACACTGATATAAGAGCTTGTGGTTTATCTGTCAATCAGATGCGCTCTCGGCCACTGATCTTTACTTGCGAGTCGTGACGTTTTCTTTCCGAATTATCATTGGCTGATAGAAATATTTTTTTAAATTTAATTTTATTTAAAAGGGTCATCGGATGTAACATGCACCTTTACAAGCTATAAGAACTGAACTGTGTGTTGGCAGTGTGTGTACACAACCGCCCTATAATGATAAAGATCCACCCAGTGTTTTTTTTTTAATCTCATTAAATAATTTCCCCTTTCTCATATCGAGCCGATCTCAGATGCCTGTCTGTGTAACGTCACACCGACTAAGGCCCCTCCCATGATAGTTTGATTGACAGTAGTGTTTCAGCACAAGGATAGAATTCCACATGTTTAGGATGTCAGCACACCACTATTACACTATTATGTGACAGGAAAACTGCTTATGAAACCCCACTTCTACACAGAAGTTTAGAGTTTATCTGGTGCAGGTGTGTTTGATTGGGACTGGAGGACAGTCCTGCTCTAAACACACACAGCATCAGTGAACTTACGCTCTGTTAGCACTCTCCTCTGCAGCAGCGGCCCTTTCACTGTCTGTCTGCTGTCTTTATTAACGCCGATGAGGCAGTTAATTCCATTAGAGGCAATGGAAATAGTGCTGTCAAATAATTAATCGCGATTAATCGCATCCAAAATAAACGTTTTTGTTTATATAATATACGTGTGTGTACTGTGTATATGTATTATGTGTATATATAATTACAAACGCATACATTATGTATTTTGAAAATATTTACACGTGTTTACATATACTGTATATTTATATTCATAGAATTTATATTATATATAAATACATTTAATATATAAACATAACATTTTTCTTAAATATATACATGCCTGTGTGTGTATTTATATATACATAATAAATATATACACAGTACACACACATATATATTATGTTAACAAAAACATTTATTTTGGATGCGATTAATCGTGATTAATCACTAAATGGAAGATCAAGAGTGAGTCTTTCCGATCTACCTGATGAACTGGTTCACAAATCACACTGAACGATTCATTCGCAAATTCATTTGTAAGTTTCGAATGCTAAATGTTGTTGCTAATTATTGTAAAAGAATGTCATACTTAGGTCATAGGGCTGAATTTCTAATCGTGATTACAATTACAGATGCCACAATTACATAATCATTCAAAGCGGCGATTAATTGTTCAAAGTCCACTGATGTTATTCTGCGTGCTTAAGATGTGTTTTTTTTTTCTTTCTACAGGTTATCTTAAGGGTTTTTCCATTGTTTATTTTTAGTATAACATTATAATACCATGCTTTCTGGTAACATTTACTTCTTTATTTAAAGAAGAAACCAATCCAAAGTAGAGTTGACGTTTGAGGCTTAATACTCTAACTGAAAAACTTTTATTGCTTTTCTAGAGTGTTTTCAGCTTGGTTATTTTTACATAAATATATGGCATGCAGTTGCTCCAAACAATGGTATAAACATAATTCAGTGTAAATAGTGATAATCGTAATTAATCATCGCAATTACAATTTCAAGAGAATAATCAACATTTATGATTTTTGTAATAATTGTGCAGCCCTAGTGCTAGCCGCTGAAGACGCAGTGGATTACATTTGTTTTTGAAGAGAATGTGCCCCGGATCTACATAAATGAGTCTATCTTCGCGCGAATCATTTGTGATCCAGCTTCATCCACAGAAGCAGTGACTGTAAGGTTTTTTAATTAATCTTTGCAAATCGCCTTTCCTAATAATTTAAGATGTTTACAGTCTTATCAGATTTTCACAATGTAAGAGACAATTGTTTCTATAGTGTGTATTAATGTCCATGCATCACTGCTGCTCTGTTAGTTTCATATGTTATAAACTAGTCTGTTTGCACAGCATTTGTCTTAAAGGGGTCATATGATGTTGCTAAAAAGAACGTAAATTCGTAATGAAAAAACGTAATGAAATGTTTATGCGGTTTAAGGTTAAAAAAACACATTATTTT